ATCCAATTAAAAAAATGTGCATCGGTTGCCAGAGTTACCCAAAGAGATACTAGCGTAACAATCAACCAAATTGGACTGTCTCAATTCCAAAAAAAGACTATTACGTCAGTAATGAGCACTATATATAGAAAAAAAATATAGCTCTATATAACAAATTCTTGTTATAGGAAAAAAAAATAACCATGGTGGGTCACGAAATCTTGTTTAMAAAAAAACATGYACTTGAACAGAAAAAACGGTCGTATTTCAAAAAAATTCATGACTTGACAGCTTCACAGCTTGCGATTGAAAAAAAAATGTTGTCTTGCGGCTTACGAGCCATTACTTCAAAAAAAGATGAATGTGGTAGTTGCCAACAATGCAYATTTAAAAAAACTTGTTTCGTCATCAGTTGCCGCAGCCTTAACAAAAAAAAGCATTAAAATAGTCTGGTTTTGAAGTTACCATTAAAAAAATGTTTAACAAAAGACTGAATACTATCGAGGTGTAAAAAAAGTTTTTATGTAAGTATTATACATCGTTTCTACAATCCCTTATCATAAACGCTAAATATATAACATACATTATCAAAAAAAATAATATATGGACTTAGAATTCACTTACAATTAAAAAAAAAGACTATTTCACGAGAAGGCTTGATTGGAAATCAAAAAAACCGTTTTACATACTTCAATTTCATGCGGTAAGAAAAAAAAAGTGTTATTTACTAGTTGCATTCGGTAAATGGAAAAAAAACATGGTCTGAGAAGCATCTTAAATACGTCGATTGTTTGACCTTATTCCAAAAAATCGCATGGCAAAGAGAGGTAAAAAAACGYGAACAACTTACTAGCAACAAAAATCAAAAAAAAAAAACATATGTGGGAAACCTAATTCGCTGATTCTATTGTAATCGAGTAGTTTTTTCGAGACCGCTTCGGAGATTGATAAAAAAATCGTTTTTGGTTTTTATAATTTTGAACTATATTAAAAAAAATAATCAATCACATTGAAGCATTTTTCATATCTAAAAAAAATCACCATTTTTTTGTCTGAAACTACCTCTTTTAAAAAAATGATGAACAACATACTTGAATAATTGAACTTATAAAAAAAGTTATAAACACTATTTTTTTTTCTTTTGAGGGGAAAAAAAAAAAGTTACCTTTTAAACCCTTTTAAACTTGTTTACCTTGCTTCCTCAAAGTATTTGTATTCTTAATACAATTAAAAAAACTTATTATTTATTTATGTTGTACATATTTTTTTAAAAAAAACGTCTCCCAAGTTTTACCAAACAACATCATTAAAAAAAACAGTGTTGAAATATGTGAAAGACCTGCCTGATAAAAAAAACAGTTTGAAGATAAAAAAAAATAACGACAAGAGAAAAAAATTTTTTCTGTCGTCTCAGCTTGAGATTTATTTAAAAAAAAAGATAAGATCACGTCAAAGACTCTATTTAATAAAAAAAAATGTTGTAATTTAAAGTTGCCCACAGACGGGAAAAAGTGTCAGTTTTCCTTGTCAAATGTCAAGTGAATTTGACAAAAAAAAGTAGACCAATTTTAATCTAGTCCTTGAAACAAAAAAAAATTATGGTATTTTTGTTCACTTAGTTCAGATTGAAAAAAAATCAGCAGTGTTTCTAATACTAATAAGTTTTGAAAAAAAAAACGTCTATGAGCACTGTGACTTTTTTAAAGTTTAAAAAAAAGATAAGAAACATTGACCCTTGTTGATAAACTTGTTTGATAAATCTAATCGAGTTACTCCATAAGAGTGATTTAAAAAAATTGTCGTATTAACTAAGAAGTGATAATTGTGGAAGAAACAAGAGGTAACTTAGATAGTGTTAGCTTCCTTTAAAAAAAAAATCGCGTTTGTTCTGGTTTACATTCCACTTCAGAAAAAAACAGTTTTTTTGTATTTTATTTTTTAGTCACAAGAAAAAAACAACTCCAGTATACTCCACCTAGGTAACCCACAAAAAAAACCAAACTTCTCTCCGACCATCGCAGCTTGGTGTAAAAAAATTGGTATTCTAGCCGTGTTCATTATAACTGGGAATTCACTTGCTATCGCGGTGCTGACAAGAAAGAGAATGTTAAAAAAAAGAACAAGTTATTTTCTTCTTTCACTGTCAATTAAAAAAATTCTTGTTGGGTTGTTGTCTGTTCCCGCCTACAAAAAAAAGATTATACAATTTGATATTTACGTCACTCCAACAAAAAAAACGATCGTTAAAGTCGTTAGAGCTTCGGATGTGAAAAAAAGTCTTGCATCAACATTCACCCTGACAATCATTGAAAAAAAGAGATTCTTCGCCATAACGTACCCGCTTCAACACAGGGTCTCCAATAAGAATGTCTACTACGCTCTAGTCAGTAAAAAAAGGATTCTCGCTGGCGTTTTATCGAGTTTATACTAAAAAAACACTTATAAATTGCTGCCCCATCAAGTGTTTTTTTACTTCATGCTTATAACGTTCTTCATCTCGCTTTTCATTAAAAAAATTGCGTATGTAACCATCTGGTTTCGCGTGACGCAAAAAAACTCACTCGATAASCAYAAACATAGTGGAAGCCTAAAAAAAACAGAGAGCAACGCTGAAGAAAAACTCAGAGAAAAAAAAACTTTAACACATACGACACAGCTCGCTTTAAAGCAAAAAAACCCCAAGCAGCGGCACAAGTCTACATTCAGACTTAGCAAAAACGGAAGAAAAATGAAAGGAAYGAGCCCAAAGAAAAAAAACAGAATGAGAAATCGAGCAGAAAGCGAGAAGAAAAAAAACATGACGTTATTCATCGTAACCGCTGTCTTTGTAAAAAAATGGCTACCTTTTCAAGTCATTAATATACTCTACAAAAAAAGTGGGCTGAAATGCCCGATTAAAACTCCTATTGAAAAAAATTACTTCTGCAAGTTTTTGAATTACTGTAATTCAAAAAAAAATCCAGTAGTTTATTCCTTGAGGCTTCCAGAGTTTCGCTTTGTGCTCAAGAACATTGTTCTTAAGAAGTTTAAATTTCTCCTTTGTATTAAGGAGTGAAACATTGTAAGGGCAAAAAAAATAAGCTGCTTCCTTACTAAACTAAGTCCGAATAAAAAAATGCCATGGAACTTCACTTATAGACGAGGGCATAAAAAAAAAAGATACAATGATAATGCTACAGTGATTTAACAAAAAAAAAATTATTTTGCATTGAAATGTTCACYACGAGCTAAAAAAACAATAACTATYGCAATGTTGCACAAGAATGACAAAAAAAAAAATATCATAGAGAAAAACACTGTAAATACATTAAAAAAAAGAAAGTAGCTTTATAGCATTAAACAGACTAGTAAAAAAATGATAAATTTGGTTTAAGTATGCCGTAACACAAAAACATTGCATGCGTCCATAGTTGTCTATGTAGTTGATTGAAAAAAAGCCACGTGAATATTACATCAAGTTGAAGAAATGAAAAAAAACTAAAACCTGGTTTTCACCGGGATGGCAAGAAAAAAAAAGATTACAGACAGTTGTCCAGATGGTTGTCTATTAAAAAAACCAAAAGCAAGTGAGTCTTTGTAAAGTTTCCAGAAAAAAAGCTTATGCTTATAAACGTTATAGTGAAATGAGTAAAAAAAACTGATGCCTGAAACACTGGTAAATTATGAAATAAAAAAACTTCTGATTTAATTAATCTTGTGACTAGGAATCAAAAAAACAAATCGCACAGCTTTCCAAGTTTACTAGGAGTAAAAAAACATTCTCTTAGAGTATATAACAGATACTTTGACAGATAAGGTAGCCTTGTTTAAATTCATTTTGTATTCATGTAAAAAAATGCTGGACAGTCTTCTTGCATGTTAAACCAATGAAAAAAAAAAGGGGTAATATGYAAACATTAGCACTGCAACAAAAAAATTAAAAAATTAACCAGTTCTAGAAGTAAAGTAGAAAAAAATTTGTAAGTAGCTTTGTGTAGCTTTTTGTTTGTAAAAAAAGCCAGTCAATATAGGGCAGCATTCCCATTCTCTGGTTAAAGAGACATGGGAACAAGCCAAGTTGGCTGCAAGAAAAAAAAACTGTTTCTGTAAAAATACCTTTTTTTATGAATTTTATGTTGTGCATAAGCTAATATATATAAAGATATACAAAAAAAAAGTGTGACACAAATATTACGGCTGGCATGGCTAAAAAAAAATGTGTACTCCTAAACCACATTACTATGTGTCCTAAAAAAATTGAGGAACAAAGCAATCGCCGCTAATGTTGGTAAAAAAAGAAGAAAAGATGGCGGTTAGTGAGGAAAATTATAAAAAAAAAGCTTACCTTAATGAAGTGTGCTTCGCTATTTAAAAAAACATAGTGGCTAATTGGTTAACCACGAATAGGTCTTGAGAATCGATTATAGTTATAAAGAATAGGCATAAACAAAAAAAAAACAATACGTGTTTATGGTGAATTTTACAGATTTAAAAAAAATCAGTGTCTGAGTAGGCATGGGGACTACATATATGGATCCACAATGCATTGCGCGCTCTAAAATTTTTCCAAAAAAAAATCACGCTCAAAGCAAGAAATAAACGAAAACTTTAAAAAAATTAACTTTAAGAAAATAAATACAAATATAAAACAAAAAAAGAGAATAAATAATTGTTAAGAAAAACTACGTTGAATTATTTTCATTGATATTTTGAAGATATTCATATCATATAAAAAAAGTGTTAAAGTGAAATGGATCATGAATTATAATTAAAAAAAATAAACATAACTAAATATCTAAAAGTCGTATATAAAAAAAGACTGTTATTTAGGAAGTTTAGATTGATTTTCAAAAAAAAACCGTGAAACTACTATCGCTGAGAGGGCGACTTAAAAAAATGAAAATTCTATACTTCTTCTAGTCTAGTGGAAAAAAAAATGAAGGATTGTCATTCGCGACTAAAGCAATATGAAAAAAATTGTGATMTATGTTTGACAGTAGGCGTAGCTTTAAAAAAACAACATGCGGTGAGAATTTTAGACTCTATTTTAAAAAAAAGTTTGTAGCGCGAGTCAATCCTTTGCATAAGAAAAAAAAAATTTCTTTCTTATTCAGTTCCTCATCAGCGTCGAAAAAAAAAAATTTCAACATAACGTCGCGCCAATCACTGATGTCTTTCATATCGGGAGGACTACAGCTCTGAAATCAGAAAAAAAAAAAATACATGGTAATGCAACAATACGACATTTTAAAAAAAAGGCTTCAGTACCTGGAGGATCATACTGTGTACTGAAAGGATGTTTCAGAAGTTGTGCATAACGCTACTTTTCGAAAAAAATGTGTTGCAGCAACTTGCAACCCTTCAGCGCAAAAAAAAATTCTCAGTTTCTCGGTAATACGCAAAAGTCATTAAAAAAAAGGGATTATAATAAAATGTTTGTCAGAATGAATAAAAAAAACACCAAAAATTCCGATTAATTATTTTTATCTTAAAAAAATTCAGTTATTAATGCTCAGAGCTGTTTTGATTTAAAAAAATATCACCTTTTTCTTCTCTTCAAACTTCAGAGTAAAAAAATCTCTCACTAAAGCGTCTAGCTCGGAGCCACCAAAAAAAACATTGTTATCCTGTACATAAAAACACAAAATGAAAAAAAATTTAATCATTCATTCTATAGGCTGATTTAGAAGAAAAAAAAATTTTTGCCTACAACCATCGCATGCAACATACGTAAGTCATCCTTACAACATGGCTACAATGTTGTGGTTCTAAAAAAAATTCATGTTTTTAGATTCCCACGACAGTAATTGAAAAAAAGTGTGTGGATGTCTTACGCAGGTTGCATGAGATAAAAAAAGTTGCCGGCCTCATCACTAGCAATTTTCCGTAAAAAAAAACAATGTTGAATGAAGTTGCACTTTGTGCGGAGGGGAATAAGACAAAATGGCGCTAGTAAACTGTGAGCTTACCAAAAAAAAATGGCTCCATAGTTTATCAATCCCCTTGGGCTAAAAAAAATCTTTGAACTTAAAAGAACCATGGCGTCACTTTTTAGCCCTCGAAGGCATACTCTAATAATCAAGGGGTGTGAAAAAAATTTATCTGCTAATTCAATAAAACTAATCGCCTAAATTACGTTATCCTGATATTAACAGTGGACTTTAAGACTGAAAAAAATTGATTGAATCTTTAAAGCGGCGAGTCCTTTTTAAAAAAAAACTTTAAACAAAGAAAAATTAAAAAGTGAAGCAAAAAAAATATTTCGTTTGTTGAGAGGAACAAAAACAACTAAAAAAAATTTTCACTCAACGAGCTAAATCATTGCTCTTTAAAAAAATTAATTGAACAGTAATAATATAAGGTAAGGTTTCAAAGTTCAGTAACTTTCTCTTTCATTTCCTTAATTACCCAAAAAAAAATGGATCCGATCGCAGCGTGCTCACAGTTTTTAAAAAAAAAGATTGTTGAGGATAGTTCTTTACTCTTATGAAAAAAAATATAAAGAAAACTAATTATGATATTTTTACCTTAAAAAAATTCAAAAAGTTCTCTTCGACTTGTAGAAATCTAAAAAAAAAAGGCATTAGTCAAATGCTGAAATATACTAATGAAAAAAATTGTAAAGGAAAAACAACCCTGAAGTTTGACAAAAAAAAATTTATTCCGTGGAGTATTGTTGATTTTTCATTTAAAAAAACATCTCCTCCATGTTTAACTCTCCATCTTTATCAAAAAAAAATTTGTCAAGCTGAAAATCATTAAAGAAAGTTGATGAACAAGGTTAATAACAATACAAGCCGACTTTGCAGAAAAAAAAGCACGTTATTACATCATACTGAGTCCTCAGCAAAAAAAAAGACGCGTTATATAAATGTATACACTGTACCATAAAAAAAACAATCAGAATACATGTTAGATATTAAGACATTAAAAAAAATAGTACATACCAGCCAATGCACTTGCTCGTTTGCTGCTTCTGAAGGTTTCTTAGTGTGATCATAGTATTGTATATAGTCAGCAACAAAGCCCTAGAATATAGATTGTAATTTGTATTATTGACATTGGGCTACCTGTGAAATTCCTCCCAAACGATCGTGATGCTCTGGGTACGAGAATTGTCTATTCAAGGCTTGGTTGCCGTCGATAAAGGTCGAATTATAGTGCTAATCGTGGGTTGTCTAGCATTCTTAAAACATTATGACGTCAATCCTTGATTAACACTTATCGAGCTTAAGAAAATCAMGCGCATGCATATCACGATTCTACTTTCAGGCCTACTGCTGGCCAAAAGAAACGCAACCCCTAGATACGATCTAATTGACTAGTGGTAAATCAGTTAGCTTACCATTAGCTCTCGTCTTCCTAGTACTAAAAAAAGGTCTGGATCGTAGTGATTCCAAATCTGTAATTAAAAAAAATTAGCAAGTTCTACATACCACTTGAAACTTAGAAAAAAATATTATTGATTATTGAAATAACCACGATTAATAAAAAAAATTTATTACCTTCATAAATTCCACGCTAGTTAAATCTTGTTTTGATGAAAGTTTCTCTGCAAACTTCATCAAGAAAAAAAACTCTACGGGTAGAATACTTGCCAGCTGAAAATAAAAAAAACCGCAGTCAAATCACGCATGCGTGTGGTTGTCGAAAATGATGAGGCGGAGCTCGAATGGTGTTAACCAATTTTAAAAAAAGAACATAATTACTGACAGAGTTTCAACTAGTTTAAAAAAACTGTAAAGCATAGACATTGACAAGATAGTATACAAAAGTTGTGTCGATTGACTCTGTCAAAGTTGGGAGCATTAAAAAAATTCAGGCTTATCAATGATGCAACTTATTAAAAGAAAAAAAGATAAAATTTTAAAAATCAATAGCATACCTCAGAAAAAAAAAGTTTCTGGTCATGATTTTTGTCGTATTTTTTAAAAAAATCTTCTTTAAATTTATCAATCTTGTCTTGGCTAAAAAAAAACAGATTAAATCAAGAATTCATTAATAAATAATAAAAAAAAAACTCATCATTTAATTAAGGTAAGAAAAGAAAAAAAAAAAACTATAACTTGAAAAAAGAGTCAGGATGAAATAAAAAAATGGCTATTGCAATCAAAATTTTAAAAAGAAAAAAAAAAAAGAACAACATCGGGGTTATTTTTTCATTAGTTTGAAAAAAAGTTGAGATATTCTTCAGTTCACATACTCTGCTTAAAAAAATCTTGTAGAAAAGATCTTTCATGAAATCATTCAATTCATCGTCTTCAATGAAGTGGTTACCTGTCAAGTATAAAAAAAAAGTCGTCGTGTTGTTGATATTACTATTTTGCATCAAAAAAAACTTCTTGCGCGCGTGCAAACCTGCGCAACAACAATTTATGTAGTGCAATACTCCATTTAACAGTTTCAAGCGAAAAAAAGAAAGGTAACCGATCCCTTTCATTAAAGCAAGAAAAAAAATGAGTTTGCAGCGATAGATTCTTCCTATTTACGAAAAAAATTCTCAGGATCTATCATTGCAAGATCTATCACCAAAAAAACGCTTTGATGCAAAGGCTCAATTACCGTGCAAGAAAAAAAGGAAAACTAAAAAAATGGAATATCCAGTTGTCAAAAAAAAAACTTGTGTCGCAATCATCGCCTTATGCATATAAAAAAAACTGCGTTGCACAGTCGTTTAATATTTTTGGAGAAAAAAAAATTTATTAAAGCAACTAATGAAACCTTTAGACGAAAAAAAAGTTAATATATTGTTCCCTTAAAAAATCAATTGAAAAAAAGAAACACCGCAACTTGTGAGCTCAATTAAACCAAAAAAAATTTTAACGCTTGTCCGAGTTTTCTTGGGCTTCCAAAAAAACTCGAAATAATGAAGCTTAACCTCAACAAATTTAGCCATATAGTTATTCGAGTCAAAAGCCATCATAATTTAAAAAAAAATATTACTTCAGAGGTTTAAGGAGTGAAAAATTCAAAAAAATTTCACTTTCAATTTGCGCTTTTAAGCTGTTTCAAAAAAACTAGCAGCACCTCAAGATGGCCAGAAATGCAACAAAAAAAGACATGTATTGTGGGAACTTAAGGATAAGCAAAATTTCACTTGAAATATTTATCAACGTGAAAAGAAGTAAATAAAAAAATCATTATATCAATAACACAACGTTAAAAGGGGTAAAAAAAAAGTTTATGAAAAATATCGATATATTGAGACAAGCTGCGACTTTTGCGCGCGCGTGTATGTGATGTGCTCCTGAAAAAAATGACAATATCAGGGTCTCAATTATCTTTAATTGAAAAAAAATAGCTACTATTAATGCCATATTGAACCCTTTTAAAAAAAAGGACTCCAATAAACTAATGTTATCTCCAAGGGAAAAAAATAATTGGTTAAGGGCGATAACTGAGGTTAATAGAAAAAAACTAGAAACACTCAAATATACTCTCTGCATATCAAAAAAAAAATACAATAAATTCGCATTGCGCGTAGAAGTAGAAAAAAACAAAAGTAAATTGTGATGTCTTTGAGGAGAAAACGTTAAAAAGAAGGTTTACTTTTAAGTCAATTGCGCAAACAAAAAAAGTCCAAATAAGATAGAAGACTCTAAATATTCACAAAAAAATTGTTAATTGGACAAAGAAAACTTCATTGACTCAAAAAAAATCTGAGTAAACCTTTATTTACAAAATATCTTAAAAAAAATGCCCTTCCGACCTCACTAACATTCTAATTAAAAAAAAAAACAATATTCGCCTCAAGTGGAACAATAAATATTTATCTTAAAAAGTAATAAAAGCGGAAAATGAAGTGTTCTTAAAAAAATGTAATTTCAGTATGTTTTAGTCTTACCACAAAAAAAAAAGAAATCGTAGTCTTTTTTCTTACGATAAAAAAGAAAAAAACATATCATTTTATCGGACACACGGGGAATATAAAAAAAAAGGTCCTAATGTTATCGCGGTTTTTTTTCTAACAAAAAAAAAGTCGAAATTCTTTGAGTTTTTCCCAAACAGATAAAAAAAACAACATTTGAACAATCARAAAATCTCACCTGWAAAAAAACAGAAAAAAATAGTCCTTCAAGCTATCTGTAATAAAAAAATAAATTTCATTTTTRGTRCATGAATGAAATGCGAAAAAAACTTTGGCGGTAAATTCCGATACAACGAAACGAAAAAAAAATGCAGATGGTGTACAAATGCGACTTTACACGGCAAAAAAAAACTCAAGTCTCAGACACAACGTATTAATTTTCAAAAAAAATATTTACAAACGGAAGCAAGTGTTTATATTTTAAAAAAATTTGGGTGATAACTCGAGGGTGCTATTAGTGTTAAAAAAATTTTAAGGCTTGAAACAGCTCCAGTGTCACTGCAACGTGTGATCAATTATAACACTTGAAAATCTCATCAATGAAAAAAACGATCTGCTATTGTATRTGATACAGTTTTGTAAAAAAAAATTCATGAAGAATTCGACGGTTCTTGTCTGATTTAAAAAAATTTTGAATTTAGTGACTCWAAGTTTATCTTGTAAAAAAAACCTAGCGACAATGATTTTGCCACCTGTCCTCCTCTGCATCTGCTCGGCTTCGAAAAACAAAGCAAAACTTAATAAAAAAAGTATCCGCTTTGGTATGTTTGCACGGCCTAAAAAAAAAAAACACAGTACAGGCTCACCTTTATAAGTGCGCAAAAAAAAATTTGGATTCAAATAGACAAAAAACAACCGATAAAAAAAAAGTACATTAAAACTTTGCTCGAGCAGACATTGAAAAAAAAAAAACATTCTTACCATCTTTGTCCCATTTTCGAAAAAAAAACATCAATTCCGTAGATGTAAGTTTTTCAGTGTCAAAAAAAGGCTTCACACTTTTGGAAGCCATCTCAGCTCCTAAAAAAAGCTACAATGCTTTGCTTTGAAGAAGCGTTAAATAAAAAAATGTTTTCCATTCGCTGCAAGTGGAGCTGAAGACCTGAATATTAATAGATGAGGAATTAGCGTGATTGGGTAAAAAAAAAATCAACCTTTAAATAGCTTGCTTTGCTTGTATTGAAAAAAATTTAGCCTACATCACGAGTGGTTAGAGCTGACCAAAAAAATTATCTCCACAGATAAGTTCTCCTATGGAATGTAAAAAAATATCAACGTGATTTATGTTTTATCTATATTGCGAAAAAAACACACGAGTATCATGTCGATATTACAGAAGGAAAAAAAAAACCGAACTTGAGGCAACAAACCGTGAAGTCTTTAAAAAAACACCTTCACAGCCTTGTATATTCACATTACATTAAAAAAAGCTGCACAGTCACCTTCACATTACATTCTCTACAAAAAAATCACCTTCACATTACATTCTCTACCGCCAGATTAAAAAAAACATATAACCAAGTAAAAGCTGTTGAAAAAAATAAAAAAAATTTTTTATCGTTTATTTATAATACTAGAAACGAAAAAAAGTCGAACAATTTTAAATCGTTATTAGTTTGCTAAAAAAAATAAAATTTGGTTTGTCAAGAATTTTCCGCGGTCAAAAAAAGCAGGGCCGGTGACCAAGTGCCTGGTATAATTCAAAAAAAGTTTACCACGTTGCTCTGAATTTCTAGAAGGGAAAAAAAATTTTTTCCGAATTTCCAGAATTGATATGCTTACAAAAAAAGAATTCATAATAAAAATTAAAAATTTGAAAAAGAAAAAAAAAAGCGTTTTTACGGTTTATTAAGACTAGAAAGAAAAAAAAATGTTTTGGAGGAAACGGATTATGTTGCAGCAAAAAAAAAGAATTTCTTCAAATTTAAAGTGCGCCCCAAAAAAAAAAAATTAAAAAAGAAAGGGCAGAAAAGAAAAAGAAAAAAAAAAAGAAGAAAAAAATATGAGTACAAACGGTCACCCATCCGAATGGATCAAGGGCGCTAGAACTGAAATTATGACCAAAAAAATCCAAAAAATGGCTTAATTTATCCAACAAAAGAAAAAAAATAATTGTCACACTTAGCGCGACGAAGGCTCCCGAAAAAAAAAGGTCTTCGATGCACTAAATGAGCGGGAGTTTAAAAAAATACAAGAAAAATCCGCAAAATAGTATTTAAATAAAAAAAAACCTTTTATAATTTTATTAACAATCTAAAAAAAAAAAAAAATTCATATTATAACGTTCTATTTCGAGCATCTTAAAAAAATTGTCACACTTAGCGTGACGCACGGCTCCCGCTAAAAAAAGGTCTTCGATGCACTAAATGAGCGGGAGTTTTAAAAAAAACAAAACAAATCCCAAAAATACTATCTAAGTACGAAAAAAACTTTTATAAGTTTATTAGCAATCTAAAAAAAAAAAAAAAAATTCATATTATAATATGGTTCTATTTCGAGCACAAAAAAATTCTTGTCGCACTTAGCGTGACGCTAGGCTACCAAAAAAACCCATTGCTGAGACCCTCTGATAAGTGRAAAAAAAAAAAAAAAAGAAAAAGGAAAAAACAAATTTGTTTCTTAAAAAAAATTTCGATCCCACATGGCAGAGCGGGTCCCGAGTAAAAAAAATAAATAATACACGATGTGATGAATTTCACACAAAAAAAAAGTCTTTAGTGCTTAGGGTCCGGCTAATCATCTAAAAAAATGGTGGACCGGGTGCCCATCCAGTTGGATGGGTAAAAAAATTTGATGGTACTTGTCTATTTTTTCCATGGAAAAAAAAAATTTTTTTTTGAAATATATATTATACAAAACAAAAAAAAAAAATAGACATTTATTTTATATGTCGGTTTAGTTCAAAAAAATTTGAGTGATTCGTCTAACCTGAGCCTTTCTTAAAAAAAATCTTAAAACCTTTCTTAAGACCTCAGAAATCAGAAAAAAATACTGAATCTGAACTCACTGATTTACTTGCGAAAAAAAAACATTGCAAAGTCTACGCACGCGCCAAAGAATATAAAAAAAGAACGCATGCTCTCTAGCCTCTGGAATCTGAGCAAAAAAAACTTTGTGGAGTGTCTAAACGTCAGGCAATCGAAAAAAAACAAAGTGCCGTGCCTTTGTATACAACCTTGTCGAAAAAAATCATTTCGGTCTTTTTTTTTTCATTCCTCTTGTAAAAAAAATTGAAATTAGGCTTGTTCTGACGATTTGTACAAAAAAAACGATTGTCTGACGTTTAGGTTAAACGTCAGACAAAAAAAAAATCTCAGATTTGAGGATGCGCGCGCATTTTAGAAAAAAAGCAGTCCGATTAAACATCTTTATTTTTATCAACGTTAATTCTATTAAATTTTATTTTTACAACTCTATGATTAAAAAAAAATTCCTTAAACGTTAATTGAGTGTGAACTCGGCAAAAAAATTAGAATAAAGTGAGATTTTAGAGATATATGTAAAAAAAAAAATAAATATTCTAAACTGAAATACTGAACAAAAAAAAAATAATTTAAGTTAAAGCTTTTACTTATAGTGAGGAAAAAAAACCCGTGAAACAAAAACTAACAGTTAAACATGAGTCAAAAAGGTCAGAAGGCCAGAAAATTGAGACTTGAAATAAAAAAAGAGAGTATCTTGGTGTATTTCACGAGCTTTTGTAAAAAAATCCAAACCCGTGAAACGATATCTATCATTCAAGAAAAAAAAATCGACGTCTATTAGTTTCAATAATATAATTCAAAAAAATTTTCAATCTCATCTATACCAATTTGAAATGTTCTAAATTGTTTAAAAACAAAATACTAATAAATGGAATCAAAAAAAAACCTATTATTTATGGAAAGATATCATCCTTGCAGTCGGTTTCCCAACTAGCAGCCAAGTGCTGTAAAATAGACTAAAAAAAACTAGTGCGAGYCTAACAACTCCACAGGGAAGTAAAAAAACATTWGATTACTTCAGCCTTTTAAGTGCGTTAGAAAAAAATTTAGTCATGAACGATCCCATCTCTTCTTTGCTAAAAAAATCGTCTCCATCACGGTCGGAGAATCTCATGATCAAAAAAAGCCAGTCACTGATGTCCTTCATGTCAGGGTGGYAAAAAAACATAGAAGGCAGTAAATTAATGAAAATTAATGCAAAAAAAAGTACCAAATATCAAACACTGACTTAGTATAAGAAAAAAAGC